AGAAACATAAATAGGGAGCAGTATTAATGTGAAATTATTTGGCAACTTCTACTGTACATTTCCCAGTTATGAGCACTGAAGGGCTTTTTTTTCCTTACGTATTCAAATAGTTAGTGAAGACCTAGAGCTGAAGTATACTGCACATCAAAGGAAACTTTGATCACTCTAGTTATGCATGTATGTTTTTAAAAAAGTAAAGTATTCAAGTTTTGGATATTTATTAATTGTGTTTGGCATCGATTTGATTTAATGCAGCTCTGTGCAAAATGAGCATCACACACTGACAGCTTGCTTTCCTTCCAGCAGTTAGCACAAAAATGAGAAGCCTGTGGCTTTAACAGCAGAACTCGTTGATCAGCTATGTTGATAAATGTTATTCCACATAAAGGCATGGATTTACCCACTGTAGGTCTGTTCAACAAAATGTCAATAGTAAAAATGATCACGATTTTCAGGAAGATTAAATTTGTGAATTACTGTTTCTTTAGCTACAGATGTTTCTTTAGTCTGCATCTCTTGTACCAAGACCTTGGTAATGGATGGTAAACAATTCAGTCGGACTCTGAGACTCAGAAACCGTGTGCAAGAAAAAATAGAAATCAGAACTGCTTAATGGAAGTTGAACTGATCTATGCCTTTATTCTGTTTAAAAAAAGTTCCCTTTGCTTCATGAAATAGGACTTTCACAGTTCCTCTGAGGTATCTCCCAGATATTTGACCTGGGAACTCGAACTTGAACTTTATTGCCATATGTGACCGGTACACGTGCTGGTACAATGGAATTCTTACTTACAGAAAGTCTCTCGATTGTTAAAACAAGTGTAAAAACACAAAGTGCAGACAGTGCATCAAGACAGTATACAAGTAAACAGTTTGAATGCAAACAATGCAGACGTGTAAACAATGACAGGAGATGTGCAATAAATAAATAAGAAATCATAATGAGTTAGAGGGTGTAGGTGTGGTCCGAGGGGCATGGCTAAATGTGTTCACCAATCGCACTGCTTGTGGGTAGAAGCTATTGAAGAATTTAGTGGTAAGTGTCCGTATGCTCTTGTACTGTATCTCTTGCCTGAGGGCAGTGGGGTGGAGAGCTCATGCTCGGGGTGGTGACTGTCCTCTGTGATGGCCAGAATTCTACCACAGCAGCGGTCCTCATAGAGCTGTTTAATCTCGGTGAGACCACAGCCGATGATCTTCTGGGCCATATTGACCATTCTCTGCAGTGCCTCTCTCTCTCGAGGTGTTGCCATACCTCACGGTGATCCCGTTGGTGAGGACGCTCCCGATGGTGCAGCGGTAGAAGTTCACCAACACAGGTGCTGGCATCCCCCATCGCTTGAGACACCTCTAGAAGTAAAGGCGCTGCTGAGACTTCTTCATGATAGAGTCAGTGTGCACAGTCCAGGTTAGATCTTTAGAGATGTGAACTCCCAAAGATCTAAAGCTGGTGACTGTTTCCACTTCTTTTCCATCAATACTGAGTGGGCTGGGAGTGTTTGGCCTGTGTCTCTGAAAGTCCACTATAGCATCCTTGATAGCATACTGTGAAAGCATTCTTTCCCTACTCCCAACAGCAGATTCTGATTTGGAATTGATCTTTAAGAATTTAGATTTTTAGGTTTGTATTTACTGTACATTAATATTTATTCACTTCTATATGTATGAAGGCCATCCTTTATCCAGTTACTGTATATGAAAAACCACATGTTGCTTTTGCTTGCTGAAAAAAAAAATAGTAGTTTCATTTAACTTCTCTAATAAACTGGATTTTAGCTCAAGTTCATCACTCTTTTCAGGAACTCAGTTTAAAGCACCTATGAGTTATCTGTACATTTGAGATGAATGCATGTTTTTTTTGTTAAGAGACCACGCAGATTTTCATGGTAAACAAGTGGATCATTTTTCAATAATTTCTGCAAAACCGAGGAACAAAACAAAATAAGATAATGTCCAAATTCATTTATGCATGAATGTATTTTTTATAAAGGTAAAAACAAGCAAGGTAAAACAACCCAGTTTCATTAAAAAAAACCAAGGATTCTCGTTTTAGTGCAAGCGAACCGAAAGCTGGAGCATTAACTTGGTGTATATTACATTTTCGCTTTCCTCTAGGGAAACAACTCATATTTTAAAAAAAACTAACAAACAAAACAAAACAATTAAGCAGGAGCTATTTATTTTTTCAGCATGAGTTGAGGTGTTTTTGTCCCTAAAAGTTGAATAAAAGGAAAATGAAAGGTTTAAATGAAAAAATAAGGCTTCTTTTTCCTACTTATTGAACTTTGAGGTTGAAGGCACGTGGGATCCCTACACGTGCGCATTTGAAAATTTCTACAAACGTCGAGTTTTCTGCGACTGGAAAGTCAAACGTTTTATGCAGCGTTAACTTTGCTTTATCTCAGCGAGCCACCATTTCTAGTGAAGTACTGTACAGTATAGCGGAGCAGCAGACGTGAGTTTTTTTTTTAAAAGGAACATTTCAGTAATTAAAAATAATGACCCTGCTGAGAACAGGATACTGTAACACGCTACTTTAAAATTGTTTTCAAACATCTTTATGCAAACGTTGTTATTTAAAAAAAAATAATAAGGATGTCAATAGTCACAGTACGCTATTCTGAAACATTGTAGAACATGTTTTTCCGCTAAATTCTAAAATACGGTGTTCAAAATTCAACAATGTTTCCAGACAACAGTCTGTCGGACAACAGGCACTGCAAGGTTTTGTACTGAAATAATGTTGCAGATATTTCTAGACTTTTTTATGTACAAGGAGATTCTATTTAACTATTAACCAAACCTGACTGACTTGTACAATATTTACAGCTCTCCGTTTGTATTTTTTAAACCAAGCTCCCGTATTCTGGTATGGGGCTGTACTGAACACAAAAGTGGCCCTTTTTTATTTTAAAGATAAAATATTCAAAAACTTATTAAATAAGCGTTAATAGCGTTAAATAAGAGACAATGGATGTTTGTTAGTCTAGGGCTGGAGAAAGGTTTCTTCGGTGTGCAGATATTAAGTTGGCCACCCTACTAGTGAGTTGTGGACACCCAATTGTATCTTCTCTTCTGTGTGCTCATGCACACTTTACATAAAATCCCTTGAGAAGTTTTCAGAGGCTGACAAAATGTGTTTTTTTTTTTTTTTTCCATGAAGCTCATTTACCAATTTAGGAAATAAGTAGGCTGGTATTTCTTCATGCTTTAACTACTGTATATTTTTTTCCCCCAGTTTTAAATCAACCCCCTCTACAGACATGAAAGTCAGTGTTTCCATCAACTCACTGCCCTAACACACTGAAGACAACCTAGTGCATGTTACTCAGTCTGTACACTTGTTTATAGCAGTGGTTTTGTTCCCACTTGAGGTAATCTGTTTACAACAGTGAGGGAATGATCATTTCATTAGAAGGGTGAATGTGTAAATAACTGTTTTCTGAGATTTGAGGAAAGGAAGTACTGTAAGCTTTAGGAGAACATATCCAGTATCTGACTGGTTATACTACAAATAATACTATTAAAACATGCATTGCCAATTGGAAGTTGAAACTCAGAAGGATGAGACATCTATTTAAAATGTTTTACTTGTCCTCTGACAGAACAGAAAGGAAGCAGTCTTCTTCGTATATGCTACTTCTAACAAGTGATAAATAATTAGTCGACCTTTTGAAAAGTGAAAAGAAATCCATAGGTTTTGCATACACATTTGCTGATCTGTTATTTTCAATATCTGGGTATTGTGTAAATAATCACTTGAACAAGGACGATTTATCACCTCCAGATTAAAGGCTACAGTAACAGACATTTAAATGTAATGCACTTTATCTATAAAGTCTTTACTTACGCTTTTCCAACATAATGAGGCCAGGAGATGGAGAAACATTGAATCGTTAAATGCGGATTTTAATAAATTATGAGAAAAGATCCATGGTTTAATGCATAATAAAGTAAATATAGTGTTGCTATACAGGCCATGGATTTAATCTTAGATTATACACTTGCTTAACATTTACTGTAAATATTTTTTTCTGTATCTTTAAAAATGTACCTAGATTTAGCAATAGACTGTTGAGATCTTAAGTCACGGTATGTGATGTTAAAAGTTGTACTTTTATTGAACAAGAATGTTCATCTGTTATGAGACAAACTACTGTACGTATCAGCATTGCTCAGTAGACTACTTGTACAATATGACTCTATGGTCACATTGTACCCTCTGTTGTCATTTTACTCATCAAGATTAAGCAACTGAAGGGCATTTTGGGGACTTCAGTGCTTGAAAACATCACTGCATGGGTATTCATTTTCTTTGAAACTTTAAAAAGATATTTTGGTAATGGGAGACAAAACATTTTGATTATATCAATGACAACACGACGATCCACACATTTTTTTTTGTGTTTTAATTAAACTTCTGAATTCTGAACAGCACATTGTTAATTAGTCAGTAGATTTAATTATGTAGAGAACTTTTTGTCTTAAATTAGAAACATGATGTCTGCCAATCTATGGGAGAATGGCCATGACCAGCAACGTACAGCAGTTTAATTGAATGCAAATAGAAAAAAAGAACAATATAAAAGTTCTACATTACTTTATATTGAGCTCATCACAAGGTTTATGAAACAACTAGCAAACAAATCAAAAAGGATTTACAGTGTTGGCACTGTAACTAAGATGACTTGATCCTGTTGTTTCTGGGGAATGTTTGTGCAGATATTTTTAAATGCAATTTCCCTGTAGAATCTTGTCATCTTCCTTGTTTAATTAGGCTGTTGTTGAGTCTTGACTTAATTATAAAATTCTATTATTAGCAATAGGGTGTATATTACCTAAATACTAAGAATTTTCACTTGAATATCCAAAATGTGAATATTCTAAAGGAGTGATAAATCCTGAAAATGTTTGGAAGTGCCCTTCTCTAGAACTATTTGCAGACTGAAATCAATTGAGAGACCAGTACAAACGACACTATACCAGCATGCCCTGGATTTTGCCTGGAAGTGCTGCGAACTTTAAAAAATATTTATCTTCCTCTCCTCTTCCTTTTTTCTGCTTCTTACAGGACCAAGCAGCAGGTCTGTTAGAACCATAGGATGGTATATTTCAGTCGAAATACATGCTCGAATGCCTAATTCTTACAGTTAAAGAAATACTTTTTTTAATGAAAATCTAAGCATGCTGTTGTCATGCTTGCCCCCGCTGCAGAACTATAGAGCAAGTTGGCATTGCTATAGCAGCCAGCCACACCTCCTCTCACCTGTCAGCTAGTGCCAGTTACCATAGATATGTAATCAGACAGGAGACTTGTACCTGGGATCAATTTCCACCAACACCTGGCTCAGGTAGTTCAGGTTATTTAAGGTCCAGTGTGACTGTGCTCTGCGCTCTGCTTTAGTGTTGGCTTGGAGCCTCTCAAGTGTTTTTGTCTCTAGTTCCTGTGTTCCCGACCCCGTGCTTGTGTTGGATCGCTGTCTGCGCTTCGTTCTTGACTATGCTTTTCGGACTCCCTCAGGCCTTGCTACTGTATTTACTGCTGGCTACGATTTTGCTTTGTTTCCTTATGTTTGCCTGCTTGTTTACCTTGCTGGCCTCCTTGGTGCTCTGCCTCTTTCCTTGCCAGCTACTACATTTATCTCTTCAACAGCAGACCGCTGTTCCACCACAGGCAGGGGTTACAACAACTATATTACAGTATGCTTTGCTTGTATCTGTTTCTTCTCTTGCATGTTCAAAGAACTCTGTTGTTAAGCTAGTTAAGTAACATTTCTTCAGATTTAACTATCCCTGTTGCCATCCTGGTGATTCTCTAGTTTAATTTGAAATACAATTTCTACAATTTAACATGTAATAATTCAGTTCATACTTATCCTCAAGGGGGAAGTTACATCACAGTCCTATACAACAATAAAACAAGGAAGACAAACATTGCCAACAGAGAAGACTGTACAATAGTATTTCAAGAGATAAGAGTTACTTTACATTGTTTGAAAGAGATATTGCAGTGGGGAAGAAAGATTTCCTGAGTCTTACCTTTTCCCTGGGTACACAGAGGTGTCTTCCAGATGGGAGGAGTGGAAATTCTCAATGGAGGGAGTATACTCCATAACGCTCTTGACTTGACAACCCTTTTATTGTAGAAGATTTGTATGTTGATTTGATTTGCCACAATTGTTTCGCCAAGTATTTTCTGAACCTATTACAATTAATGGTACTGATGTTGCTGAGCCAGCCAGTACTGTATGTTGACACAGTATGTTAAAGACTTATTAAGTATGTTAATAAATGACTTACAAATCATCAAGGAACAGAAATTAGACTTAAGGAGATTTAAGTGCTTCTAGGAAAGTCATTTTTGCTCCATTTATGCTTAAATTATTTGATATAGGAAAAATCCAGCACAGTACATAAATATGTAGTTGTACTGCATAAAACACTAAATGTTATTGCATTGAATTTGCCTTGTGCTTTAGTACAAAAGGTGTTTTTTTAAGCTGATTTATTGCTTTGAAGATAAGTCAGGAATTTAAAACTTAAAGACATATTTTCTGAGGTGACTTTTATAGTGTCCTTGATATGAGCCCTTTAAAAGGAAATGAAGATTATCATTTCTTTATAATTGGTAAAATCAAGATTTCCTTCTTTTACAATGAATCACAATGACATACTGTAGAAATGGGGGGATAAAACAGGCATCAATTAAAACTTGTTTTTTAAAGCATGCAGTAATTAAATCATAAGGGGGGCAATTATTTAATGGAACAGCATGGGTCTGTGCTGTATGTCTCTTTAACGGCAAAGCTGATCCATCCAGCTACAATCTATTGATCTTTCAATATTCAATTACTGATACTCTTCTTTTAACATTGTTGTGAACTGATTTTTAAATGTTCTGTCTTGAAAGGAAAGCATAACTATAAAGGAAATATTCAAATACCCCCTGTAACAAGAGCTCCATTTAAATGCAAATTAGTGAAGAAAGAAAGTGTTTTAGCAAATTTTCTATATCAGTACAGCAAATGTCTACATTAATCCTCTAGCTGGGTGACTTGTGTTACTCTGATAAACTAGTGAAGTATATGAAACCCTCACGTTCTTTGATGTCTAAGACTAATTTGTACCTCGACTTAATAGCTTTCAGCATACTAAAATTGCACATCCATCAACGCAGCAAAATAAAAGAATCCTACAGCACAGCACTGTAATATTTACAACATAAACAGGAAAAATAAAGAAATGGAAAACTAGGTTCAGACAGGTGTCTTCATTCTTTTAGGTTATTACTACTGGAGAGACACTGATGGAACTGTGGAGACGTTTGTATGAAGATGTGGAATAGGATAAATAAACAGAAATATAAGACTCAGGCAATCACACTCCACAGTCCCTATAACAACCTAATAATCCTGGTGTCATTATACGGCTGTCTATCCATGGTTAGATCTCTTGGAAGGGTGATTGGAATGGAAGGAAAAATGACTGGAAGAATGTGAGGAGAGAAATACGTTAATAATAGTGCTATTTCCTTGCTGCAGGCCATCTGAGATAAGGTGCAGCTGGTACATTAGGCAGATTAGGATCTACACGACCAGAAACAGCAGTTTTCATTGTATCACAGAGGTGAGGGGCAGGTGTGTATCAATCATAGTTTTTTAGACATGGCAGAAAACAGGAAAAAAGCATTTTTTTTGTTTTCTTGTCTGTTGGTTTCTTTGGATTATTTGCCCATTTGGAAGGGCCAGGTACTTTACGTCTGAGAGAAGATCATTCTTTTACACTTCATTGAACTTCATAGCAGTCTTTCTCTTCTTTTAATATATTTCTTCAGCTTCTGTTTGGGTATCGTTACCTTGCTCATTAACACTTCCATATAGACTGTAAAAATCCACTCTTAGCGAAGAGAATGGCGGACCAGCATGATAAGTACCTTAAAACTCTTCCTGAAATTAAGCAGGAATCTGCTTATAATGATTTTAATGAGGTTCCTGATAATGCGACTATTTCATTTCAAATATTACATTGACCTTTACCATTAGCATTAAGACGCTTTAAATTTAAAAAATAAAAAAAGGAATAAAACACTTATGATCCTTATGATAATGAATTTTTAATTAGTATCATATAACTGAAAGATCATACAAGTCAATTAGATTTTGGAATCCTGTTCGAAAGATATTGTAGGTGTGTTGTAGCTTTTTCCAGTAGTTTAAAATGAGAATAATATTTCTTAATCTTGTAAAATAACTTGAAGGAAACTTCCCTGGTTTCAAAATTGAATGAAACATGATGTTTTGATTTTATTCAGTATTTGTGCAGTTTTCTCATAATGGCAGGATTTTATTAAACGTTTGTTACAGTATTTGATCTTACAAAATGCATTTTGACAAGCAAGTCTTTTCAATACAATTAAAAAAAAAATTATAATTTTCTATTTCATGTGTTTTGTGTTTGATGACTTGCACAGCATTGTTTTTCTAAAGCTTTTTTTTCCTTAAGCTGTTTTTGTTTTGGTTCAGGTGATCATATGTCCTAAAACAAAACTTGTAGTTATAATACAAAGAGATAAATTAGTACAATGTGGAAAAAGCAGGTGTTCAGGTGTGTTTTAGAGATGTAGTTGTTTTATCATATTTGTTTTAAAAATATTTGCTTAACATTGAATAAGGATGGGTGAAAAGACAAGATAAAATGAAATTTTACTTTGTTCTTGCACTCAGTATAATTCCCCCACATAAAACAAAATCATTTGAGTGGTTATCAGTTATGCATCCTGTGCACATCAACAACATATCAGTTATTACCTAGGCAACCTTAGAGTATGAAATCAATCTACAGTCGTCGTGTGATTTCCGTGTATTATATCCGGGTGAGTGGAAGTTCACAGCTCTTGGTTTCCTTGGAAACTGAGCGCATTCCCATGAGGATCCACATTCCACCCGGGGCTACTCGGACTCGCTTAGGCCGGGTTTCCCAGCCCTCTTTGACGAACAACCGGGTGCTCAGCCCAGCGATAGAAACCCTGTTTTGCCACTGATCCAATCCGGTGCTTTGTCATGGAGTACTTCAAAGACCACAGTAGCGCGCTTAACACTACTGACCTGCGTCACCAAAATATACTCTGTCTGAATCCGGCCCAAAAGACTCCAAGTCTATTCTGAACCTGATTCTCCTGTCAGTAACTGGTGTCCTGCCCAGCACTGGACTAGTAGCTATAAATCTCTCTGCCTCACTCCTCCCCCCTTTAACTCATGCTGTTCATGATAGGCCTGAAGGCTGCGCTCGCTTTCCATCCAGTCCTGATCACAAACTCCATCTCCCTTCCTCAGTCTCCATCACTCTCCGTCCTGCCTCGGCCATCTTCGCCAACCTCCGCACAACACCGAGCCTCACCGAGCTCTTGCACTTGGGTTCCCAGCCTGAACCTGGGATGCAGCTGTCTCTCTCAGCAAGCCACCTCATAACACAATGAGTGTGTTTCTTATAGCAATGCAGTGGAGTATTTATTTTCAGTTTCTTCATTAACAATGCACATACAGTATTATCCACATTGTTCCTGGAGGGCCTTCTGTGTGGCATTTGTATGTTCTCCCTGTGTCTGTTTGGAGTTTCACAGGGGGCTCCGAGTTCCTCTCACAGCCTAAAGACAAGTCTATAAGGACTTGTGTCTCTTCTAAAAATATCTAATTTTATAAAACATCAGAGCAAGTGAAGCCTTCACAAGGGAAGATATTTTATGACATTTATGAGACTTCTTGGGAGAAAAAAAAAGCAAACCTCCTCCTGCTTTCTTTGGCTTAAAATGCATTTTTGCAAAGTTAGTTTGTGAAAATTGGATGCATCCGGAGGACAATTTGTCTCATTGTTAGTCAATTTAAGCTTTTAAAATTTGGCCTTTTTGCAGCAGCCAAGGTCATTTCCATTCACTGCTCTTTCCTCAGCACTGACCTGTAGAAGCTATAGCACTTGGTTGCTATGGAAATGCCACTAAATGTAGGTAAATGAGATAGAGGGGGCGAAGGGAACCACTAGAACGAGGTACTTGCAGGTTTCTACAGAGGAGATATGGGTACTGTTTTGATTGTCAGAACTTGTAGAACTCCATCCCTGTCCTTGTGATGTGGATAAAAAAGTCTATCTGACAAGTCAAATTATTTTCACTATGCTGTTTGCCATGTGCTGTAAAATCGTGAGTGGCAGGTTCTATTCTCCCTGAGCTTGCTAGCCATCTATCCTTCAGACACCTGAATATGAGAAATAATTTTGCTTCCTTTTGTGCTTTTGCGCTGCCTGGAGCAGTCTTGATTCCAGGGTGCTCCACCACTCTAACCACAGAATAGTGACTAATAAGATGAACTGTGACAGCCGATTCACATTATCAGTTGAGAATGCCTTGCAATACGTAGATGTCTAATAGGAATGTCACCTGTCATTTGCTGTAGGCACACATGTTGTTGGTAGTTGTTGTTAGAATTACAACTATAAAACATTCACCCATTTTCTAACTGCTTTATCTAATACAGGGATTGCATACAGGATTATACAGGAGATTAACCCAGCAAGCAACATGCACTAGGTAAGATAAACCCTGGGTGGGCCACTAGTCCACTGCAGGGAACACACAGACAAATACACTCACACTAGGGTCAGTTTTCCCAAAAGCCAGTTAACCAGAATGTCACTGGACTGTGGGAGGAAATCCACCCTTAACTCATAGAACATACAAACTCCACACAAATATCACCCCAGGAATAGAATCCAGAGCCCTACTTTGTAGGAAAATATGTTTAAATGAATGCAGGTCCATGTAAACAATGAAGTGCTTTCCTTGTAAAATAGATTGTACTTCTGGCTGGTGTGAAAGTACCATCTGTCTTAAACTGGGAAGAATTAGGGTCCATTTGGTAGCTGTAAGTAATAAGCACCTGATCTTCAATACTGTATGTTCTACCGGTAAATTGTTGGCTCATCCAATGTGGGTTACTTTAGATGTACTGTACCATGTTAGACAAATACTGTATATCCACATTGTACTGTACCTTGCCAATGGCAAATAGTACATACAGTACCTATTGCTTAGATAGGTTTTCTTTTTTTTGCTTTGACATGTACCATGAAAAATAAATTGCATTCCATTGCTAATGAGTTATAGCAAGTAATAATCTGATTTTGAAATAGACCATTGATCATTATTAATGATCATCAACACCTTTCATTTCAATATCCCGTCACAAGCACCCTGAAATGTCCTTTTCAGTTGCTTTTCTGAGTTTGATGACACCATTCTTGTGTGTTAATTAAAGCCCTTTAGAGCCACTATCCAAAACACTGCAGATAAAAGTATCCTTACTTATGGGAAAAAAATCAAGAGCAGAGCAAACTGCGCTGAAATGTTTTGTATTTGTTGAATATGAATTGCTTTTTAGAAAAGTGTTTTTTTTCCCTCAGCTCAGAAGTTACAGGTTCATATCTACCTGTCTATAACAAACATAAGAGCATAAAACAATTCCATAGAAGAGAGGCCCATTTGTTATTGGCTACAATGTGATGAACAATTAGTTTATCTCCAGTTCTATACGGCACACTGGGCCAGAATTCCTCCCAGGCGATGTGAGAGACATAACCACTGTTACAGGAAACATTTAGTTGAAGTTACTGCTGCTAAAGGTAGTGCCTCAGGCACTAAATCACTTACTTTATCACATAGTGATATTACATGCTGTTTTTTTAACAAATAATGGCAAAGTCGAATTTTGTTAAATTAGCTTTTTATATATATACTGTCAAGGTTAGGGTAGGTGACTTACTGAGGACTAGGTCAAGGTCAGATATGTCTAAACATGTTAAACCATAAAATCTTAAGGGGTGCACTTTTTTCACCACACTGTTAATTGTTCAAGGATCTCATCCAGATACTGTATTTCCTTAAAGAAGTTTCAGTACCGACTTCAATATCATAAGATCTCGTTTTAAAGGAGATAAGCTTCAAAGCACAATTCATTTCATATTTAGATGACACACATAATGTAATAACAAGGTCAGCCCTGACCTTAGTTTATCCTGGGATTTACATCTAAAAAGATAGCTAAACCCGAATTAGGTGGTATTGACATCTGAGTAATGAGCTCTTGTGGTAGAACCCTGAACTGAAAAAACTAATTTCCTTAGGGAGCTAACATGGAGTGAACAACCAGGCCTAATGATGGGAGAGAAGGCCTTATAATTACAGCGTTGAGGTGCTCGGCGTCTGTTCTGGAGGCTCACCTTATGAGGACCGCTAATATTCATGTGCCAGGTAAGGACGTGGAAACTGCACGATAACATGATAAATGAATTCCCATTAAGTGATGTAAAGTGGGGAAATAAGTTTACATAATATAATCCATGTCTTTATTTCACCTTGGGTATTCAAGGGACTGATTAACTACCAGCAGAGGCAACAAGGAAGGCTAAAGGTGTATTGTTTTACACTGGTGTGTTGACTTCTTCTTATGTCAGTGTAGTCTGATTGTTAAAGATGTGATCTCCCAAAGGTCTAACGGACTATAGAAACTGTCTTATTGGAGTTAACCTTTGAGATTTAAGGTCTGTGTTCCATATTGTGTAAATGGCTTTCATTATACAAGTATAGGCCTTCAGGGTAAAGCACTTTTTTTTTGGAAAGAAGAGACTGTGTTCTGTAACCTCTATAAGAGACAAAGGAACTGGATGTGAAGGTTATGAGAAAAAATGTGATACCCTCTAATATTCAGCATATGGAGAAGGACAGTATTACATAACTTTCAAGCCAGTGCTCATGAGCCATAAAGCTGTATCTCCCCAGAGATATTGTGCATCTTCTGAAGAGCCTTAGGACAACAAAAAAATAACTGTAATTTGCAAGGGTTGTGAAGGAAAAAAGTACAGTGACATAAATAGCCAGTAAATGCACTTTTTATCTACTTAGCCATACATAAAAAAGCAATCTCATGTGATGGGAATATGTGACTTAAATATACATGAAGAAATGCACGGAAAAAAATACAGGATATAAAAAAAGGCATCTGCTGAGAAAATTGTAATGTGCTAAACAGAGATTAAACTCCTGATTGTCCAGTGCCATTCCTGGAGGGCCTGGTGGGCCTGCAGGTTTTCTGAATCTCTTTAAAGAGACTGGCAAATGGAAAAAAAAGGAAATTGTTAAATCGGTCAAATTAATCAAATAATTAGCTCATTTACACTGTGAAAACCTAAACTGGACTAGAAACATGCAGGCATACTCTCCCTCCAGGACCAGGATTGGACATCCTGATGTACGGTAGGTTTTCTATGTTTATCTGAGCATTCTAGAGTCATTTTACTGTTTGGTTTCATTTACAAGGTTTTACACTTTTCAAAATGCCATTAGAATACCAAAACTTAGTTTAGTGGAAAATCGAACAATGTTACCGAAGTAACAAGAAAAAAAATCAACTTGGCAGCTTTTATTGATCTATTCGTCAGTAACAGTAGATCCACATCTTTGGGGCAGTTTTAGTATACTGTAACTAGCCAGTGTTTTCTTAATAAATTAAGGTTTCATAGGCCCATTTTAATTACCTTTTACACATTTGTTAATTGTTTGTAGCATTTAATTAGTTGTGCTTTTCCTGGATATACTGTAATTGACCCACTTTTTATTCCTCTCAGTAGAGTATTGATACAGTACAGTACATTACAACCCCAATATAGTATACTGAATTATACAGTAGAAGCTTCACTCAACTGGCCTAAAAAAAACAATTGTAAGTGCCCTAGAAAAAATAAAACCATACATACATACACAAGCATTTTATGCCATGTTACCTATGTGATCAGATCCTGCATTTTTAATGTTGTGCATGTGTTTGTACTTACAATTTATTGTGCCTTGATCTTATTCTTCATGTTCTGTCTCCTTTTGTTTTGTAAGCCATCGTTGAAGGGACCATACACAATGCTTGCTTCAGCATTTGTTCAAACTTAATTGTAGTTTTTATGATTAATTCACTTATGGTTCACAAGGGGCTAGCTTTCAGGCAATTAAATTATTCAGTGTAGAATAAGAGGAATCTCACAACAGACACTTCAAGAGAAACTGTGAACCCAAGAGTACTGCCCAGACCAGACTGTTTTGCATGAAAAATTCTTAAGTATGGAAGGTTTATTTCACTGATCAATTAATGTCTTTTTTTTGTGTGATTTTTGTTACTCTTAATAAAAGGTTGCCATAACAGGTGGTGTCTAAGTAAATACCACTTCAATAGAGGAGGACAACAGCCTTTAAAGGTTTAATAAAACTACCCTCTAATGAGAGAGCTGGTTGTCACTGAACTTCCTTAGGCAAACGTTACTTAAAAAGTACAGCTGTGCCTTTTATCCTCTATTGCTTTTAACCCCTTTAACACTTGTTACGTTAGGTGACCTTCAGACGAAAGTGCTGACCTGTGCACCTGTGGGCACATTGAGGAAATAGATTGTGAAATGTAAAGTAGAACATTCAGAATATTAAAGACTTTACATTCCACTTGGCAGGGACATTTTTTATTTTTTTTTATTTTTATCTGCTGAAGCGTATCAGTCCTGACAGGGACATAAAAATATATAATGGCTGTCTTCACCTGTGACCCTTGTGGCCTACTGGGATTAGATTGTGCAAAAGTCGTCGGGTCTCCAGAGAATTACCTGTGCCACATGTAGAAAAAACGAAAGAATATTGACGTGGACTTTAGAAGATTAATCCAAAATGGCAATGGTGAGCATGGCTGAGTGTGAAATCCTATTGTTTGATGGCGGAGAGTTTCACAGCTATGTTTTAAATAGGGTTTTGAATGCCAATATAAAGTTCAAACAAAAAAAGGAAGTTATGCGCTTTTGTGCAGTAAAGGACAGAACATATCAGAGGTGCAGCTGGAATTCACAGCAAGGATCAAAATCAGAGTAATCTGAGTAAGTATTTGTAAATTGTAGATTTATAACAGTTGCACAAGGCTTACGGTTAGCTTCAAAATTCTTATGTAGTTTTCCTGATCACTGCGTTCCCTGTGAATACTTCCTGAAGTGAACAGTATGATCAGGGCTTCTGATATTTGGGCTTTACTGATAAACTCACTGTATTAATAAATATTGTACTTCTGACTACACTGTGTAGGCCCATTTGAATGAAGGACAAATAAAATGTAAATATTGTATATTTAATTGTATTTATGTTTTATGTCTTATACCATCTGCTAATGAAGCTGAGAGAAATACACTTCAAAACTAAAAAAAAAGTGTATTACCTGTAATAAAAATATTCTTGACTCACTTATTATTACAGGTTAATATGAAAGAGAAAACATGGAAGATCTGAGACTTGAATAAACTTGAATAAAAATAAATACACAAAGCAATGTGTTTAAATATAAAAGTAGAAAAACAGAAGATCTACAATTAGTGCAAAAAAACATAATGCTGATTATATTTTGTCACTTTTTTTTTACCTATAAACATATACAAGAATGTTGTGTTTGCAAAACACTATCACCATGTCAGAAACCGAGCACGTTTTAACAAGAAACAGAACATTTATATACTAGAAATATTATTTTACTGGTGTTATTGTATTATATACAATAACTTGAAACAAAAAATATGCTGATTTTATACAGAAAACTGAGGAGCATCTTTTCGTTAACATATGACTGAATGTCATTAGGAATTTGTAAATTGTTTAGTTACAGGTGCCAAAGTTATTATCAGTAAAAAGACATTTTTTGCAAGCGTCCTGACATTACATTGAACATGACATGACTCTTTAAGCTGATTAATATTTGTCATCAGCACATCAACAGGGATCTGCTGCTTAAGTCTCAGGTTAGTACAGCATATTGCCACCATTAGGGGCAATGGCTGTTATACATCTGTGACACATGGCTTTGCATGGGGTTGCAGATGCTGTCTCATGGGATTCTATCCTGTTTTTTTTTTATCGTGCCTGGATGTGCGCGTGAGTCATAGATGGCAAAACACAATCATTCCAGAAGTTTTCAGAGGGCTCAAGTCTGGTAAACGGAGCATCCAAGGCATAAAAGTCACATTCCCGTCTCACATGAAAGCTGATGATGTTGGTGTTATTAGGTTGTTTGTTGCCCTGCTGGAATCCTGCCATACACTTAGGGGGGTATGATGTCACAAAATGGGAAAGCAAAGTACCCGTGATCTCTGTAATGATTTTGATCTTCACAAAACTTGGATTCACTCATTGCCATAGAAGACTCGGGTCCGAATGTACTGTATCTGAGCTGACTTACTATAGTCTAGCCTCTGCCATTCTGACGGCATAAAGGCCTTTTGATAAGCAGATGTTGAACAAGCAGACTAGATTTCCTCTCTTCACATTCAGTAGTTTCAGTCACGTCAACACCTGTACTCTATCAATTCTCTCGCTAATGAGGTGATTTACTCAGTCATTCAAGTGTGTCGCAGTTATTAATGATCAGTTAATCACAATGATGCCAAAATATTTAATCAATATCAATATATACTTTGAGTGCTCCAATGCATGCATGCATAAGGTGATAGGATTTAAAGAAGAGCTTGTTCACAGCCTGGACTCCCATTATGGTCTTGTGGTAATGAAATTCATTTGATCCCAGACTGCAGTCCCCTCTTCTGTCTTTAGGGGCTCATTACAATTCAGTAATTTTTGGTTGAACAGCTTTATTTCCCTCTGATCACCTTGTAGCACTTTCATTTATCAAGCCATTATTCATAGCATTTTAAAACATTCTGGGAAAAACTCTCTTTAAATGTTTTGAATGCTTTTTCGCTGCACCCGAAAACTTCATTTATTTGCTGGACTGATTTACAAAATCATTTTTGTATTAAACATAACTTCAGTGTACTGTAGATCATACTGTACTGTATGTACCCCTTCTTCATTTATGCATTAGGCTATAAAATATACTAACCATCAGAATGTTTTGTATAAAATACAGTAACTTATTTCCATGAATATTTCCACTCTTTGATCTGTAATGTACAGAGTTAGACCATAATGTCTTCTTGTGCTGATATATTTTCCCTGAGCTGTTTTCTCTATTATTCTGCTCTTCTTTTAGAAGTGCAACACTCATGAAAATATACAGTACAATATAACAGCAACTCTATAGACCAAAACAGTTACAGACGTCACGGGTACTTTGCTTTCCTGTTCTGTGACATCATACCATCTCACTACACACTACACAAAAGACAATAGATTTCACACTCTTTCGTTCATTTCTTTTGTGTTACGCATCTCTTTTGGTGGGGTTG